CTGAGGATAACATTTTTGCTATCTAGATGAGCAAACTTTTTCACATTCCACTTTTAAAAAAGATATTTCTTAGCAGATTCTTCCCGCTATTCTTTACTGAGCAGTGGAAACCTGCTATTAAAATATACAAATGCAGGAATTTCGATGGGCTGCTTAAGCTCAGTTCACTCCAGTGCAGGAAAATATGGGTAATTTTTTTTTTTTTTTTTTTTTACTTTTTGGTTAGCTGGTGAGATTACCGACTCAATATGTTTGGCATAAAACCGTGACAGCTTAGAAACAAAACTCTGTTAGACTCCCTTAATCAATGCAAACATTCAGCACAGTAGTTTTGCAATTTATTAACATACAATATCAATTATACCAGACTATGAATATAAAGGTGATGAACTATATAAGCCTTGATGAGGTCATGGTTTTTTATACGATCCAAATTGAGCACCAGACATCAAACAAGAGAGATCTGCTAATCCCCTCACAAAGACCCAGATTGCAATTCAGACTCTCATGTCAGGTTGGCTTTGACTAACAAAGTCTACAATCTGGGGTTTATTGGGGCAAACCCCCTCCTAAGTATTTCTACAAGCTCCAACACTGGAAGTAAAATCCTAGACCCATTTACGTCAACAGCAAAACTCACTTTGACATTAGGATTTTGCCCTGGGTAGCTGTGGGTCTGATCTGAAGGCCAGGGAAGTTAATGGGAGTAATTTCAATGAGCTATAGATCAGGTTTGAATTAGGACCTACTCATGACAATGGCAAAACTCCTGTTGACTGCCCTGGGTGCAGGATCAGCCATTAAGTGAGACATAATGAATTTCAAGTCGATAACATGTTTTGGTGGTACAAGGTTAAATATCAGACCATCTACCCCCATCAGTAGCAAATTGTTACAAGGGAGGTTTGCTTTGAAGAACTGCCTGTTGCCATAATTGTTTAAAGATATTAAATCAGCTAATAAGGAGAAGCTGCATCATTTTTGTTGAATAAGGCTGAAACCTTAATAGAACAGAACTTGAATGACAAGATTGAGCAAGCCATGGCTTGTACCACATAAACAAGCCTACTGTACCCAAAACAACATTATGCAAAAATATTTCAAGTTGCAGATAGATAGCTGTGTTGATAAGACATTTATAATCCCTTTCTGAATTTGATACAAGTTCCTAGATGAAATGAGCTTGGCATTTGCACTTTAATTGATTAGTAACCATTCATATTGCCAAACTTCACTGCATCGATTCACTTAAAAATTCCAGTCTCTACTATGGAGAAAGTCAGAGGAGGAGTGCTGGGACAATTTGTATAGTGGGGGTGCTGAGAGCCAAACTGTAAACCCTGTAGATGATGGAAACTACTCCAAGCCAGAAGGTGCAGCAGCAGCACCCCTAGTTACAGCACCTATGAGTCAGAGCTTCAAAAATGAGGGCAGCATCACCTTAGGAAATCTAATTCATGTGGGAGACACCTGCTGTGATCAGCTGCTAGTATCATTAGCCTTCTGGATCACTTACAACACTCACACTCCAAACATAGAGGAGATGCTAGTAAAACAAGACTTTCTTTTTCCTTTGCAACAGTAAGCATGGTTCATACATAGGGTTTCTGTTATGAGGGTTCATAGGCAAGCCTCTAAGGGTGCAATGCAGCCTAGAAGACCTTTCTCTGAAGTACAGTGAGAACAAAAGCAGTGGAACCACCACCACGGGCGTGCATGCCCCAGAGAGTACCTCCACAGCTGGTCTCTAGGGCTGTGCCTATAATAAACTTCACAGCTATAATAATAAATCAATATGTGTCTCAGAGTTGACTTCAGTGGAAGCAGGATTTGGTCCCCAGGGGAGTAGTAAATCCACTAAAAGAGAAACTCTTATTAAAGTAAAAATGTCTGATAGGGAAGAGATGGAAGCATTTGCATGAAATTACAAGTAATGAAATAATTGGAAGTAGACAAGTTTCCACTCTAAACTCCACAACAGACAGAAACAAAGGATTAATGAGCAATAATCCCATCTATTGCCTTGAGTATATTTGTATGCAAATGACACTTCTGAAAACCTGGCACCTTGAAGACAGACGTGTGTCATCTTGTAAACGGCTCATCTTCGCACACCAAGCATGCTTACAGGGGACGTTTAGGGCTATGGTGGAGAAGGATTGATAGTGGCTGTAGTTTGTATTTGACTCTGCACAGCCTTTTCCAACGTGGGGGCTTTCTCTAGGCATCTGCAAAAGTGGCCATGAGTGAATGGCAGCTAGTGGGTACTCAGCTCCCTTTGGAAATGAGGCCATTTTTAAGATGTCTTCTTTTAAGGTGCCTAAACACATAAGTATCCCAGGCTGGAAACATTAGTATAGGTACATCGCTTTACTACCCCTTGCAGATGAGGTAAACTGAATATGATTTTTCAAGGTACCCCGATAGCACGCTGTCCTCGGGAGCCAAAAAGTCTTACCGTATTATAGGTGAAACCGCGTTATATCCAACTTGCTTTGATCTGCTGGAGTGCACAGCCCCGCCCCTCTGGAGCACTGCTTTACATCCGAATTCCTGTTATATCTGGTTGTGTTATATTGGGGTAGAGGTGTACTGTATAACAAAATTGTTCGGTGTTTTTTGCATACCCTTTATAAGAGGCATTTATTATCGTCTATATTGTGCCTCCAGCTGCCTTTGTATTCTCGCAGCTAAATGCGCCTCCAGGAGGCAAGACACAATGGAACAGGTGGCTAGTTTAGCATGCTATTTTTAGCTATACCTGCCTATCAAAGTACAACTGGTAGAATTGCTTGTTTCAGTATTTCCCAGGAGCTCTCCTAAAGAACAAGGATTAGAGACATGGGCCCATGAAGAATTGTGGGCTGGCCCTGTCTCCATCAGCATATGCACTACCATTTGGGAGCTGTTTAAAAGTATTTTTAAAAATACTTCACTCAGCCGCTTCCATCTGTATTGAGCTTTTGAATGAAAGTCAGAATATAAGCGAGAGGCAGCCTGTGGTAGGAAACAATTTTGGATGGGGGAGGGAGAGAACGAACGAAGCCCTGTTTTCAGAACATTGTTTGAGCAACTATAAAGTTCAGGCCTGTGAAATCAAAGGAAAAATAAAGTTCACTTTAATAATCATGTGTCTCAAAATGTTCAGGCATCTTTATTATTTGTTATAAAGTGCTTGACATTGTCATGACAGTGCTCTTGAAACTCAAAACAGATATAAGATTTACCCAATTATGTTTTTCTAGAGCTAGATTTTAATAGACTGAATGAGGATATACTTGATTCTGAAGATGAACAGGGTCTCTGATTCACAGTCAAGTTATCTGTACATACATGTTACCTACAGAGTTGCAAATATGCTTCGGCTACATTGGGAAGTGCATAGCACAAACACAGGAAAGCTTGGCAGGTTCACACAACGTGTCAAACTGTTGTCCACTTTTGACATTTGATAATCCCATGGCAGCATCAATAGTTGAGGCAATGAAACATAAAAAGGTCAAAAACAATTACTACTTTAAATATTTTAAACTTTAAAAATCCTGCTGATCAAAAGTGACTCCTAACTTTAAATAGACAAAGCTAAATTTATTTGCAAATCATAAAGGATACTCTCGCTCTCCCCCCTTCACTCCCCATTACCTATATGCCAAACAAGTCAAGGCACCTTTTAACTGAACAAGAATGCATATAATCAGTAAGGCATGGACTTCATCACAAAGAAAGAACACTTCAAAATGTGAAATCCAATGGCATTCTTGAGACAGATTTGGAAAAAAAAATCAAGTAGATATTACCACTTGTTTTGACAAACTGCAAAAGATAAACTGACCTTATCAGTAATACTTGTTTTCCATGTTCTACTTTATTCATTCTGATACATATGTATAGGCAAAATACCTAGATGACATTTTTAAACCAGTGCAAGACAATTTGTTTCTTCTTTTTACAATAAGTCCCAGTTTTGGGCCTGATCTTGCTAACACTGATCACAAGTCAGTTTATGTATTTATACCACATCTACCACAAAGGGGGCCTTGAGCCATCATAGGCCCTTACATGCTACTGCAATAAAAATAACTACCTTATTCATGTAACTAGTTCCATTTACTTAAATAAAATGAGAAAGGTACAAGAGTATGTTGAAGTGTTTTCAGGCTCAAGCACTTTAGTTGTAACCACTGACTTTGTAGATCCTGAAGATTTGTTCAATATTAATGCCTAGCATTCACAGCTTGTTGAATTCAGTGCAGAAGAATCAATATGGCTTAACTGAGCTTCTTGTTAGTAACTTGGGCCATGCACACCTGTATTCCCTGAACACTCAAAATTCTCACATCATGGGGAATTTTCAGTGCACATGAAATGATACTACTCCGTGTAATGCCAAGAAATTACATACACAATGCCCCAAGTTTATTACTAGCATATAGTTGATTTTTTCAAGATATTACTCTAATTTCTCAGCAGTATGAAAAGATAAACAGTGTAAACATAACAGCGTATGTATGTGACTTTACAGGAACAGAAGTTGAAAATTCAAACTGTAAAAATTTCAGATCGGGTAGTCATATGGGTGTTGCACTCAAGACACACAAACACTAAGTTTGCTCAGTACAAAACCATGGAAAGATTTCCAGTTTCTAAGGATTAAGAGTTTTTTTATTTTAATGCTCTTAAGTCTCCGACAGACATTTTAGTTGGTTACACTCTAACCATGAGTAATTTAAAAGACCTTAGTTTAAAACTGAGAGGTATGCTTCTCTGGTGCAGAGGAGAGAGGTGAGCAAGGACTCACTATTCAGAACAACCAGTTTTCAGTGCATTTTTCCTAAAGAGAAAGCTTTATAGCAGTACCGGAAATGTATGAGCCTAATCTTGTGGTCTTTGCCCGATGAGCTTTGTCTGAGTAAAGGACTGCGGTATTGAGCCATTCATGAGTATTTAAAAGCAAGGTTTCTTTAGACACAAACACATAGAAGAAAAAAGTGGAAAAGCCATTCAGATAAAATATTATAGGTTTATTTAAAACTTATTTTCAACTTGAATATGCAAAATACGAACTCCAACAAAATGTTCATTTTTACTTTGTAGTTTACAAATATACAAAATAGACGTTTGTTTAAATTTATATTACATATTTATTATGTAAAGAACTATATAGAAAACATTTGTTCTGCTTAAGGCATATTTGGGAATAAGCCATTGTACAAATTATTGCACATTGAAACCACAGTGCATTACAGACTGTCTGCATAAAGTTTTTTTCTTAAGAAAAAAAAGAAAAGAAATAAATCAGGTTTATTTACCTGACTTAGGTCATAATTGTAGATCGGAAGACAAAAATATTTCCTTGTCAGATATGCAGCAGTTTGAGAACTTTGGCTTCCTGTTTTTGGTACCTTTAGAACCAACAGTCACTAAGCACCATGAAATAGGCTTTTAAACAATTCTGTACCTGAATTTCTTCCTCCTCTTTTAACATAGTAATGGCTTTTAGAAGGAAAAAAAGACAAGATGACATTTACATCTCATATTGCATTGAAACAAGATTTAAGGGAATGTAATCTCCCTATGTAATCTCCCCTCCCACCCAACAAGCAGTCTATTTAACCCTGATATCCTTGACTTCCAGTCACTCCTTGGCATTTTGTAGTCCAGAAATATTCAAGTTGGATTTAGAAATGGAATGATAGAAGATCCAGTCATTGACCCCAATGTTTTTCTTTAATTTATAATTAAAAAAAGAAGAGTTCCAACATTTGCATTTAATTATCTATTTATTTCCACTCTTTGGAAGACTTCACCATGATTCCTTGTAGTGCTTTAGCTGGGCTCCTCCCTCGTGTGGAAGACAGTCTGTGCTGTAAATACTGAATCTCTTATGGCAGTATGGGAAAGATCCACTGCTTCTGATTAAAAGTGCCTCTTCATATGTAAGGCTAGGTGATCTGACCTGGAAAATGCTCTGTCACATCTCTGACACTGAAAAGGGCGGTGGCCGGTGTGTTTCCTGTAGTGACGGGTAAGTTCATCGGAGCGGGCAAATTTCCATCCACAGCCCTCCCAATCACAGTGGTATGGTTTTTCTCCTTCAAAAAATAATAATAAAAAAATCACGTCAATTAAGTCCATATCTGTCTGCAGTCGTGCACATACTTTAGTATGTTCCAGTAAGGATAATATTCCAGCCTTCTATTAATATCTTCACTCAAGAAGTTTGGTAACATACAGGAAAATTAATGTTTTCATTAAAGAAAATAAGATCAATAAGGCTTTTTGTGGTAATTTATATATATCTAGCTACAAAGATGCTAACATCAGACAGAGGGCAAAAAACACCTATTCTTTGCATGACAGTATGATTAAATGTCTTATAAGAAAGTTCCTTTTATTGAAACCTTAACTACAACACTTGTTATTTCCAGACTTTATCTTGTATGCAGGAATTTAGAATACAAAGCTCAGATAATAGTATCAATACATATATGCATTTTGCTGATTGATACTTGTTTAACAATCCTCAATCAGAAACAGCTCAGATGTAATGGATTTAGATTATAGGAGATTTCAGGAATAAAAAACCTGCTGTAAACTTCATTAGATCAACTTTATTAAAAAAATAGAGGGCTCAATCTCATGGCCTTTTAAGCAAAGCTCCTATTGACTTCAGTGGGAACTTTACTTAAAGATTATAGACTTATCACATTAGCATTCTGGAAAGCATCTATCCAATCTGAAAATACCAGAAAAACGGTTAGCCATTTATCTCAGGAGAAATTCAAAACCCAGTCCTGCTCACATTGACATTAGCTGGGACATGATAAGTACCATAGTTTCCACTCTCAACTCTGAGATGTCCCTTAGCGCTTTCCTACCTCTTCTGCTCAGAATACATTTTGATTCCAATTCCTACAACTTCATTCAGGGATCCTGAATAATTCAAATCTAAGTTATACCATGCTTTTAGAGAATGGCAAAAGTAGTGAATATTATTTTATCAGAAATCCTTTCACCAACTTCATTACTGCAGTAAGCGTTCTTCAGTGGCAAAGTTAAACCATACCTGTGAGATCAAGCTCAAATATGAATGTTAATGTATTTATTATTTTACTTGTATTCCAATGGTAGTTGAGGAACCTTAAACTAGTTTTCTTGCAGTGATAATAAAGCAGAAGAATAACTTTTAAAAGTAGACTACACATTTTGTCATGTCTTTAACACAGAATTATAAAAATGTTCTCGTAGTATCTTGCTTCACTTGCAAGCAACAGCATTATCTTCCATTGATTTCAGAACTGCGATAACTAGGGACATGCCAGTAATAGACTCTCTCCAGTTAGAAGAGCAAACCAGGACAAAAGAAAAAAGTTTTAAACCACGAGCAAAGAAAGTAAAATCTAAGGAGATACCTGCAACATAGGCTCCTGTCATACAGCTGAGCCAGTGCTATCTAGATCAACAAATTCAGCTTGTCTTCCAACTACCTGCCAATTAACTAGCCACATAGCAATAGACATGCAAACAAACCTTGTGTCTGCAAAAACACCCTGCAATGTGAGTCATTTTGAGCCACGAAGTAACCTCCAATCCAGTAGGTAAAACCATAAATTGCATTTTTTTAAACTGAATAAAAAGTGGGATTATTTTTCCCCATAAAAATGCATCCTTTTAGCTGATCAAAAAATTTGGAGATTCAACATTTTTGGATCAGCTGTATTTAATTACCTGAGCAGACTATACCTCCCTAAAGAGAGCCTAGAAAGGGGTCCATCTCTTTCATACACTTTGGTAACACTTATATAGTGTGCCATCCATGCCAATAAAGCCTTATTGAATGGACCTTACCTGTGTGGGTCCTAAGATGTGCCTTGAGATGAGAGCTCTTGGTGTAGGTTTTGCCGCAACCCGCATAGTCGCAGGTGTGCGTGGCGGTCCTTTTCCTGGGCCATGACCTACGTCCCCTCTTCGGCTTGGTTTCTTCTGGCAGACAGCTCCCAGGTGGCATCAGCTCTAAAGGTGAAGAGGGCGCAGTCAGCATCATCACCCCTTGTACCAAGGGAGGCACATTTAAAGGCTCTCCCGAAACATTTAGACACTTAGACTGACCTTGATACTGTAGTGCACTTGGCGGGAGCTGCTCTGGCAGGAAAGGAGGGTAGCCCGGGGCAGGGTGGTAGCCTGGGGGCAATGACAGGTGACTTAGCCCCTGGGAGGAAGGATGGCAGTCTCTGCTGTTCATCATCTCCTCTGGAGCCAAAGAGGGGTTAGTCCTGCTGGGCAGCGGCCTCCCCAAGGGGAACTCGTGCTGCTGGGCTCGCTGGCTAGCGCCAGGAGGAGGCTGGGCAATGGTGCAAGAAGGGGCTGCCTCCTGCTTGATTTTTTGGCACATCCTGGGGAGGGAGCCGTAAGGGGCGCCGGGGCTGTCCGTGCAGGCAGCAGCCGGGTTGTTCTTGCCGCTAACACTGATGTGGTTATATTCCCCCATGTTCACCGTGGCTTTCACAACAAATTTCCCATGCAGGCTGCCCAGAGGCGACTGCTGCTGCTGCTGCATGTAAACCGGGTCCAAATCCGGCCTCATCAGCTCGGCTACAAATCCACCGGACGGGGACACGTCGTTGATGTCGGCCAGGTTGAAGGGGGCGGCGGAGGCGGGCTCCCGGGCGGCGCCGTACAGGAGGCCGGGCTCCCCCCTCTGCAGCGGGTAGGTGAAGTGGCAGGCGCTGGCGGCGGGCGCCGAGGGGCAGGCGCTGGCCGGGGGCGAGGCGGCTGAGACCACCACGGCCGCGGCGGCCGCCGGCTCCTGGTGGATGAGCGAGTTGGAGAGGATGAAGTCGAAGTCCAGCAGCTCGTTGAGCTCCTCCGCTTCCCTCCGGGCCATGAGCGCCGGGCTGGCCCCGCGGCTGCCGCTGCTCGCCTGGGTCTCCAGCTCGGCCGGCAGCTCGTAGGGCCGCCCCGTCAGCCCGGGCGGGAGCCGCTTGAGATGGGACAGCTCCTCCCTCCAGCGCTGCGGGCAGGAACAGACACGGGCACCGGTCACCAGCGGGCTGGCCAGGCGGGCACCCCCGCCCCCTCTGGAGTCCCCCCGGCATTGCACGGGGGCCGGGCGCACGCACCCCACGGGAGACCCGCGTTCACGCTCAGACAGGTTCACACGCAGGTGTCGCTCCTACTACGTGCGGTTTGTAGCCACGGCGCTCCCGCCCGGGCAGGGCCCCCGGCCCCGCTCCGCTCCCTAGTCCCAGCCACTGAACTCCGCGTCAGGCGCGCTGGGGAGTAGGCAGCTCCTCCGCCCGCGCCCGCGCCCAGGAGAGGCTGCCGGAGCGCTGCCTGCTGCAACCCGGCCAGCCCGGGGCGAGCGCCCCGGAGCGCTGCCTCCCGTCGAGCGGCCGATCGCATCTCCCCCAAGGGTTTCCAGCTGCGCCCGGCACACGCCCCGTCCAGCGCGGCCCCAGCCCAGAGGGAGCAGCGTGACACTGACCGGCCAGAAAGGGGAACTCGAGCCCGCCTCAGCCCGCAGCTGGGACTCGCTGAGCTCAGCCCCGCTCACTTTGGCCAGGTGGAGCCGAGCAGCTCCCCTCCGCTGCGATCCACGCACCGGGCACTCGCTTGGCCCCAGCCGCGGAGCACAGGGCTAGGCTGGGCGGGGTGGGGAGGGATACTCACATTGCTGGCACCTGCCTGCCTCAGGGCTTTCTCCCTGCCCGCCGTGCCCGCTGCGAAGGTCGCGATGGAGGGGAGCAGCGTGCCGCTGAGAGCCATGTCAAATTCGCCGGGTGGCTGCCTGGGGAGAGAAACGGACAGCACCGATAACTCAGCCGCTGCTCGGAGACTCGCATCCACGTTGCTGTGCCACCGGGATCCAGCGAATGCGAAAGGGGGGGGGGGGAGGTAAGAGAGACACCACCCACCTCATTAAAGTGTCAGGGGCGGCTGCTCGGTCTGGGAGCCCGACGGAGAGTCCAGCTCGGGGAGAGGCTCAAAGGGGGGGGAATAAAAAAGTTGCACCAAAAATATGAAAAAAAAAATTGCAAGACAAATATCCTTTAATTACAGCTCGAACGGGGAGGCTGGGGGCCCGGCTGCCCCCCTCCGCCAAATCCCCTCCGGCTCCTGCTGCTGGAGCAGGCGGTGGCTCGGTGCTAGCAGCGGTCCCGCCGCGGCGCAGCAGCCGCCGCCGCCGCCTGGCAGCAGGAGCAGCGAGGCAGCAGAAGTTGGGCGAGGAGGAGGGGGGCGGCGCGAGACGGTTCCCGGGGATTCCCTGCTCGCGCCGCTGCCATGGGGGAGCCGCTGCTGCTGCGAGTTGGTGAGCGGGGAGGGGGGGGGTGCGGGAGCCGCCGCCGTGTCCTCGCGGGCGGGGCTCGCACCCAGAGCGCTGACACGGTCCGTTCGGAACTGTCACGCCGCGCGGCCGGGCCGCCCCACTTATAACTTCATCGCCCTCTGCCCCCCCGCCCAACCAGCGTGGTCACCCGGGCTCCGCCCACCGTCGCCGCGGCAACCACAAAAACAAACTTTCTCGGAACACGTGGGGGAGGGAAGGGGGGAAGGGAAGGGATGGGATGGGCCGTGACGCAAGCAAAGCAGCTGGCTGGCAGCGCGCGGCATTGACGCCACCGAGGAGGAGTCCGCGACGCAGAGGCGGCTCCCCCCTCCCCTCCGCCCGCGGGCAGCGCCCCAGCGCCTCGCGCACCTGTGCGGGGAGGAGACGGATAGGAGGCGGGGGGCAGGGAAGAAGGGGGGAATGAGGGAGAAGGGGACAGGGATGGATGGAGAGAGGGGAAGGGATGCAGGGAGGGGAAGAAGGGGGCAGGGATGGAGGAAGGGGGAGGGATGCAGGGAAGGGACAGAAGGGAAGAAGGGGGCAGGGATGGAGAAGGGGACAGGGATGGATGGAGAGAGGGGAAGGGATGCAGGGAGGGGAAGAAGGGGGCAGGGATGGAGGAAGGGGGAGGGATGCAGGGAAGAGACGGAGGGGAAGAAGGGGGAGGGATGCAGGGAAGGGATGGAGGAAGAGGAAGGGATGCAGGGATGGGATGGAGGAAGAGGAAGGGAGAGGGGTGCAGGGAAGGAACGGAGGGGAAGAAGGGGGCAGGGATGGAGGGATGCAGGGAAGGGACAGAGGGGAAGAAGGGGGAGGGGAGGGTTTGACCAGATCACAAGAGTGAAATATCAGGACACATTGGGTGAGCGGGGGGGTAAGGGAGGAGACAGACAGACACAGGTGCACAGCCCCGACCGGAGCCAGAGGCACACTGGTTCGCCTGGCCCTGTGCTACCAGCGTGCCCCTTTCTGTTGAGGGTGGGTTCATGCTGCGCCACACGGCTCCCCTGCCCAGCGCCCCCTGGATCCACTATGCCCAGAGCCCCCCTACAACCCTTCCACCACAAATGCACAGTGATGTGCACACACACCCGCGCAGCGCCCCCTTGCTCACAGCCCCACCACAGCTGCTTAGCACCCCACACAGAACTCCCCACTTGCTAGTTTCCCAATACACACAGATTTCCCCTCTCTTCCTCCCTCCCTCCCTCCCAGTGCCCTTCCCCACAGCCCCACCACCACAACTAAACAATGCCACACACAGACCCACACTGCCCAGAGCCCTGACACACCCAGATCTTCCCCACTGCCCAGCACCCCCCAACAGGCCCCCACTGTCTAGCACCCCAAAACACACAAACCTCCCCCACTGCCTAGCGCCCTCCACACCCTCACAGCCCAGCACCCCACACACACCTCCCAGACACTCACCATCACACCCTGACCCCTTCCCTGGCCGCACTCACCAGCCCTGCTGGGAGATCTCTGGCTCCTAGGGTGAGAGCGGCGAGGGGAGTCTCCAGACTCTTCACATGCTGCGCTTGCCACAAGCGCGAGCTCCGTGGCTCCCATTGGCCGGGAAAAGCGCCAATGGGAGCTGCCGGAGCCATGGAGCAGGGCTTACAGGCGCCAGCAGCACACAGAGCCCCCCCCCCAAAAGCCAGAGGGACCTGCCAGGGGGTGAGGTGGGGAGTCCCAGCGGTGCTCACCTGGGGCGCTCCCGTCCTGGGAAACATCCAGCAGGCTGGTCCCTCTGGCTCGTAGGATCGCGGGTGGGTCGGGTCAGGTCGGGTGGGGGGACAGAGGGGTCTCTGCCCGCTTCCGGCGCCTGCAAGCCCTGCCCCTGCAGCATGCGGTCCTCCTGCCGGTGGGCAGGCACCGGGAGCTGCCCCAGGAAGCGGTGAGTGGCAGCGCCGCGGCTGCAGTCCGGACAGTCCCTTATATCGGGACAAATGGCATCCCGACCGATGTAAGGTTGGGACGCGGGACAAGTCCCCTAAAATCGGGACTGTCCCGATAATATTGGGACGTCTGGTCACCCTAGGGAGGGGTGCATGGAAGGGAGTGAAGGAAGGATGGTGAGAGAGGAAGAAGGGGCAGGGATGGAGGAAGAGGAAGGGGGAGGGATGCAGGGAAGGGAAGGGAGTGAAGGATGGAGCAGGGGGAAGACAAATTGATTTTTTTCACCCCTTTTGAAAACGTTGCCTCCTGTTTTTCTCTCTTGTTTTTTCAAGACCCAAAGGGAGAAATCCCCTCCCCCCTCCTAATCCATGGGAGGGGGAAAGGGGGGTTTGAGCTGCTCTATGAATAGCTCCAGTGCCTGATTCTGCTTGAACTTAGAGTTTTTCTGAAAGTGGCACCATTTTTCTCAGGTTTACCTCACCCCTGGGGTTCTGAATAACAGCAGTGACACTGACCAAAGCCTTGTTAATTTTATGCTGCCAGTGCCTGGCAGAATTGTGAGGAGGAATAGCAGCACTGGAGCTGCCAGTTTGCAGACTCAGGAAGACAGGTCTGCATTGGTTTACATTTGGAAGGTTATCTTCAGTTAATGAAAGTTGGGCATGTGCTTTTTTCAGTCCCTGACAATGCATGGCAGAGAATACAATTATTACAGAAAGAACAGTTTTATCCCCTTTTTGCATGGTTACCTGCACTTATATAGGTCGCAACCTCATATTCCTGGCACAATCTACAAGTTTGGGTGCATAGGTAATGCCCTAATTGTATTACCATTGCACCGTGATTTTGCTTGGTTCTTCTTAACTAGGGCGAAGTATACCTAGAAAATAGGTGATGAGTGCCCACAAACATTTGGATGTGTAACAGTAATGTAAATACTGTGATAAATTCAGAGCCGCTTGCTTTCCATGATTCCACACTCATAGAAATGGCACTGGAATTTACTTTTATTTTCAGAATTCTTCTCCCCTCTCTCTGCAGATCACCGTAAGAACTTGAGGAAGGACATTTGAAATAACACATAAAAGTGATTCCATGCACAAATATAGAGTGTTTTCTGTTTCTCTGGAATTTGGCAGTCTATGGTGTTTAATATGGGCATATATGTTTGATTACTACAGAAATTTTGCAGATCCTGTTAAAAAAAAAGTCTGTCTTCACAGAATCCTCTCATCATTGGTACAGAAAGTGAAACAGAAGTGCTGCAGTATTTAGGGTTTCTGGATTCGTTTTTCTCCAGGAAACAATTTGGCTGCTTTTATTATGCCAGATAATTACAAAAAAAGTACTATCTTAAAAATATTGGTGATTGGCAGCAGTAGCCCTGGAAACGAAAATGGGTGAGATTTTCAAAAGAGAGTAAGTGATTTAGGAACATAAGTCTCATTAACTTTTAATGGGACTGGCATTTCTAAGTCATGCAGTTTTCAATGTCTCACCCAACATGTAAAATAGGGCTTGGATTTTCTATGATTTAGGTGACCACTGATATGTACTTTTGGTATTTTCAAAAAGCATACATCAAATGGTAAATTATAGCATGGCTAGTGCTGAATTATCAGACATGTAGTTTCAAAACTTCCAATGTTTTATGCAGTATGTAGCTATTTATTTGTTCTAAAATCCATACTTTTACTGGCAGACTATTCTCAGACTTTGTATGACTCTTACATAAACAAGGTTTTAGCTTCTAGTAGAGACTTACTGAGTTGCTCTGCTCTTTGTGTTATAGAGGAAAATCTTGTTCTCAGATGCAGATTCTTGAAATGATGAGGGTTTGTCGATCCCATAAATCACCTTCTTTCAAGGCTGGGGCAGATATTCAAACAAGGTTATGAACCTCCTTACTTGTACAGTCATAATTCCAAAACAGGTTGATCAAGATGCATTAAGTCCCTGCCCTGTATAATTTATAAACATGAAGCTGAGTAACCTTTGATGACTAAATTAAACTCTAAAATAATAATAAAAAGCTTAGCTTTATTTTAGCAAACTGGTATTACAAGTTTCATGATATAAATGTTAATTATTAATATCTTTGGCACTAGAAAATGGATTTTTCTCTGCACAAAGTCCATTTCTTGGCAGAGGATGCATTGGGAATTATCAATATAAAAAGGATCAATGTGGAGACATGATGAATAATAAAAAATTAAGGATGTTATCTAAATGTTGCACAGAGAGAAAGAGGTACATGTCTGCCTATAATACTAGTTTTAGGATCCGCGGGCTCAGTTGTTTACAAACTCTGAATGATGCTTTGTTTTGATTCTCGTGAAAGCTGCCTTATTTATTTTCGTGGCCCAGGGTTCTCTCCCTGGTTTCCCTGTCTATATATTATATAATAAACATGTTAATCAAGGGTGATCATGTTAGGTTCTTTTCATCCAGGGTTTAAAACAATTAGAGAAACCCTTTCTTTTTTCCCCCTTAGCTTAGTCTGCAGAAAAATTCACGAGATGAAATAAGCTCTGTGTGGGTTTTTCCGATGTAGAGCAGTTAAATTGTCCTATTTGTTTTTTTAATTCATATTTCTGTACATGTTAATTTATTTTTATTCCTAAACCATTCCATAAGTTCCTATATTTAAATATAATTTGAAAGTCAGAGTCACTCTAGGCAAAAATGAGAATTAAATCCTTTATTAGAAGTACAACATTAAGCATAAAGAACGAGGAGTACTTGTGGCACCTTAGAGACTAACATTTATTTGGGCATAAGCTTTCGTGGCTGAAACCCACTTCATCAGATGCATACAGTGGAAAATACAATACACACAGAGAACATGAAAAAATAGGTCTTGCCATACCGACTCTAACAAGACTAATCAATTAAGGTGGGCTATTATCAGCAGGAGAAAAAAAAACGTTTGTAGTGATAATCAGGATGGCCCATGTGTCAAATATAGAAGTGACCTGCTCCCTTCGAAGTCCATGGCAAAACTCCGTGGATTTCAGGAGCAGCAGGATTGGGCCCATGAATAGCAGAGTTTGAAATAATGTAGATTCTTTTACCAATTTTAAATTTGTACCCAAATTTAAATTTTGTAAACACTAAGAGTGGGAGTTCCAAAAGTGCTCATCACTAGCCTAAGTCTGCCATTGGCATCAATGGCAGAAAAAGATAGGCCAATGCTGAATACTT